TTTTTATAACCGAAGCGAAATAAACCGAAACACTTCCAAACCGAACCGATCTAGTTTTTGAAAAACTGCCAACCGAACCGAGTCGAACTGAAAAATTTTCGAACCGAACCGAACCGACCTGATTTCTTAAAACTTTTAAACAGAACCGATCCCACCTCTAGTGTGAAGAACGTAAAACCAAAGAACAATGGTGTCCATTGTCCATTTTTCTGTATTGTATCTTGTTCATGCGTAATCCAATCATAAAAAAATTAAACTATGCCAGTTTGGAGTGACATCTATTTTTTTCAAACCGAACCGAATCGAACCGATCTAGTTTTTGAAAAACTTCCAACCGAACCTAGTCGAACTGAAAAATTTTCGAACCGAATCGAACCGAACCGATCCCACCTCTGATGTCAAAGCATGATTACATCATGTTCTCGAAGAAAAGTCCGAGTAAAACAGGGTGTAACCAAGTCTAAAAAAGGAGTACCAGACGTGCAAGATGCGGGAAAAAATTATGGATGATCTTTCTTGTAGCAAGTACTCTCTAAAAAAATAGGCATTTTAAAAAACCTAAAACGGGTTCGGGAAACTGCAAATATACGGAATCCTTTAAAAGGTTTTAGTAAGGGGTTTTTGACCTGTACTAAACCGTTTTCAAATTTCAGTTGCAAATGGAATATCTATTCTTCCAAGATATGATACAATCTACAGCAGTTTTAAGTCTAGTCATTTTAATTCATTATTATACATAATGTGATGTTTCGAAATACAGACTTAAAACTGCTGTAAATTGTATCATATTTTTACTCAAACTTTGCCTGTACAAAAACAAAATTATTTTCCAAGGATAGTTTCTTTAATTGAAATGATATTATGTTTGCTTATAATTTGGGCATTTAATGATTCTATTTTTATATATAGAAAGGAAACGAATGGTTGTAATAATGGGAGAAAAACTGAACTAAGGGAGCTTTTTCTGAAAGAACAATACTTACTTCTTTATGTGGGCTAAAGTGAGAAGCAGGAAAAGATTTTGCTTCATCGGTTGTAAGGCAGACTTCATAAAAGGATTCGTATCTCTTATAGGCCTTGAGTCTGGCAAATTACTAAAGAAAGCACATAGACCAGAAAAGAGTTAAAGTGTAGAACAGAAAAAGAGAACTATTTAAGTTGAGAGGCTATACACATATGACGTTGTTTGTTTTTTCATTTGTCATGATATAATTCATAAACTTGATATAATTTTAAAAATTTTGAATGAGAAACTTAAGTACTTACACACAATAAAAAGACGTACAATCACTATGTCTGATCGGCTAAGGCCTAAAAAGAGTAAAACAAATGATATCTATATTGACCAAAAAATACCAGCATATGTGAATAAACAAAATGTGTAAATCAAAATAGCCTGACATAAATGCAAAAAAACAACCATCGTACTACATCTATCCCAGTGAGTTAACTAAATACTCAATAGAACAACGTAAAACGTAAATATCGGAGAAAAAATATGGTGTTAAAACAAATACGCGTGGTTGCATAGTATCTGCCTCTATTGTTTAAACGAAAGTGGTTTTAATTTAAAAACAATCAGATCGTGAAAAGAATAAGCTAAAAGGGAGAAAATTTTAGATTTAAATAAACTTCAATAACATTTCATTTCCCCATATTTGTTTATTATGCTCAAGCAAGCTTTTGAGATCTCCGATGAGGGCACCACTAACAGACTGTGCTGGAGTACACGGGAGCTGCAGTTTGTGAGAGAATAGGGCCGTATAAGCGCTTTTTATTTTACTCTTGCACATTTGGAATTTGCGTGTTGGGTATATCAGAAAGAGTCTTCTTTCTCAGAGATATCAAAAATGCTTCCTTCATTGTGAAAAACACTAATTGAAACTGTTAAAAAAACTGTTTTCGACATCAGTATTCAGTATACGTCGGTATCGGTATTTCAGTAAAATAAAGCAGTTATAAACTGCAAAAAGTTCGAATATAAAAGTGGTCTTCACACCACTTTCAGAAATGACAAGAAAAGAAAGTACTAGAGCCGAAATATATTCGTCTTCTTCGTCTATCGACGACGCCATTTTTTTCCCAAAATACACACTTTGTACATATCGACGTTTCTCTTATTATTTCAGACTAAGCGAAAAAGCAGTGTCTGTTATACAAGGCACTTATTTTTGAAAGTGGTGTGAAGATCACTTTATATTCGAACTTTAGACAAGTTAAAAAGCAGATGTAAACTGCAAAAAGTAGAAGTAAAGCAAAAAAGAACTAATTTACGTAGTAAGTGTACGGCAGTTGCAGTGAGTGAGAGATAGGGACATATAAATCCTTTTTACTTTACTCTTGCAGAGTTGACAGTTTGCCTCAGACATGTTGAGTATATCAGAAACGAGTATTCTTTCTCAGAAAGTGTACTATTTCTAACGACTTCTGTGTTTTTTCCTCAATCGATGTTTGCTGTGCAAAGATCCCGAAATAAAAATGCACACAAGTGAGAAATGCATCAAAGGTTGATGTTTTTTTATAACAATTGTGAGTATCCTCGGTGTAAGATCGTTTTGCTGTTAGTGACTCTCAGGATCTAGCAAAGATCAGTTCGTTCCGGTTCGACGCACAGAGGATTGGGGCTCAGCCATTCGGCCTCATTCACAGAATATTAGATTGGCGCTGATAACGGACTGATGCTAGTGATAATATCTTCGGATATACATTCTCTGAAAGTCCAAGTGTGAATGTTTTCTTCACATATGGCAAGCGTTACCTTATCGGTAATATTCACATGCGAACCATAAAACATCAAATGCTCTCACTTATATTTGGAGATCAAACACCAGTTATATAATTGAGAAGTATATGGGAGGAAGTCTGAGACTGAAGCTGTTTTAGAAATCACAATCAAAATTTTTCTAAAAGTTTAAAAAAGCTGTTAGCACAGTTTCTATGACAAGTAGAGAGCGTATTTAGAAATAAAATTGCTGTGTACTTACCTTAAGCTCAACCTCGAAGCAAGCCGAACATCGGTGAATGATTCACCATGATTACATTATCTTCCCGATGAGAAAGCCGGATAAAACATGGTGAAATCATTATCTGAAGTACCTTACGGAACACTTTATCTTGAGAGATCGAAACAACAGGTAGCTACCTCAAAGCGGTAACATCATTTGTGAATGATTCCAGTACTAATATGATATTCTGAATGACTGTTACGAACAGTCATGACCATGATTGAGGTATTTCACCCGTTCTCTAAATGGGTAGTTGTCAAAATCTGAACGCTTTTTTATTGTTGCTTCTAAACCCAAAAGGGTATAGTATTATTACTGAACCCTTTTGGTTTTTTAAAATACTTCTTGGACAGGTATTTTAAGAGAATAAAGGGTTTTTTATTAATGTCACAAAACCCTAAAGGTATTCTATTTACGGTACTTCAGATACAGTATTTATTTCTTGACCAAGATGGTTTAGGAGTTGAATTGAAAAACCTTTGAGATTTAGCAGCAATAATGAAAAACCCTTTTGGTTTTTTAAGATGATAAAAGGGTTTATATATCAACCCTTTGGGTTTCGTAACAAAAATAGAATACCTTTAGGGTTTTGTGACATTGACAAAAAACCCTTTATTATCTTAAAACACTTTTCCAAAAAGTATTTTAAAAAACCAAACCGGTTTAGTAACGATACAAAACCTTCAAATGGTTTCTCAAATGTGCTACTATACCCTTTTGGGTTTAGAAACAGAAATGAAAAACCGTTTGGGTTTTTTAAACTGCCTATTTTTTTTTGGAGAGTAGTTGAACTTCCGAGGAACGGGCTTGATTTACTTGAAATCCTCCGTATAACTGTTCTTCACGGTAAAATATCTGGTGTTAAGAGAACTGAAGATGAGTTTTTCAATATTTTAGTTCTCTAAGTGGGATCTCTGATCTTAGCAGACTCGAAGCGAGAAGTTCAGCCATCTCCCCTTTGCTTTTTTGAAGACGGTATTTATAGTTCTTCTTTATTATATTTTCACCTGTTTCTAGCAAAATTTTCTTTATTATATTCATATCTCTTATTGTATCATTATTTTTGTTACTTAGCTTGTGTTGAGCTTGAGTCATGGTCCTGGAGCTTTGATGACACTCGCTTTTCTCGAATAAAATAAATTAAATGAATAACGCCGTGAAAAACTCAATTATTTGGTTATTGGAAAATGTTTCACCCATTTCCAAAATTATTTCAAACCGCGAAGGAAATTATGTCTAACTTTCTTGTAGCAAATGCTTGAATGTTCAGACATATGCGAATGTTTGTAATTAGCTGTTAAAATAAAAAAGAACAGCTTATGAGTCATTATTTTTCATGTTAGGCGCCATTTCTATGGTTCGCACGTACTTAGTTTTGATTAACGCAGAAAGCACTTTTTTTATCTGTTTCACGCTTATTCGTTGCGCTGAAGCATGCTAAGTTTAACTTTAATATTCCCATCTCAGGAAATAGTTTAATTTCTCTAAAGTTTACTATGTACGCTACCCTTGTGTCGCATATTAAAATCATTGGTGTATATGGCGCCAATCAGAGTGTTGCTATAGACCATACGGATGAATTTTACTAGAAGCAGGTGAAAATTTTCAACTTTTTTATTCCGCATTTGAATCAGATGAAACTTTACTGCCCACCGTTTTAGACTATGCCGATTCTAATGCAATTAAAGCTGGCTCATGAAAACCCCCGTATAAAAAGTCGATTTTGCCATAATGTAATCTATCTAATGATGAGCTTCAAGCGATTAAAACACTAATTAATGATAAATCTCTGATCATCTCAAAGGCTGATAAAGGTAACACGGTCGTGGTACTAAATCGAGAAGATTATTTACAAAAAGGACAATCCATACTTGACGATAAGCGTGCGTTTAAACAGCTAAATGAAAATCCTACTGATGAACGTGAAAAGAAGTTTATTGATTTTCTACTGAAATTAAAAAAGAAAAAGTCATTACAGATGTTGAGTATAAAAGAATGAGACCTGATTCTGGCTCAAGAGCTCCTGAAGCCTATTTTCTCGTCAAGGTACATAAGAGTAACCAGCCTGTTCGTCCAATTATATCGAGTTATGATGCATACAATTATAAAACGGCGAAATTTCTTGCTAATTTATTATCAGCAGCAATGAAAGAGGGATCGTCATACATTAAAGATCCATTCGACTTTGTTGATAAAATTCATTCGAATAAAGACTCAACTGGTCTGATGTTCTCATTAGATATTTCTTCTCTATTTACAAATGTACCGTTGGAAAAGTCTGTTGATATAGCTACGAGAAAGATCAGACAGTATCATCTCGATTGGAAAATTGTTGATAATAATTTAACGGAATTATTTTACATATGCACAAAAAGAACTAATTTTGCATTTGACGGTAAAAATTATGATCAGATTAATGGGATCTCAATGGGTAGCCCTTTGGCTCCCATTTTGGCCAATTTGTTTATGAATGAAATAGAGAAAGAAATTGATAAGTATACGGGTAAAAAACCTGAAATTTACCTACGTTATGTTGACGATATCTTTTCTATTATTCATGGCACTCAAAAAGATATTGCCAAGTTTGTAAAATTTATGAATAAATTAGATCCATCTATTAAATTTATAGTTGAAGTTCAAAATAACAATAAACTACCGTAATGATAGAGCGAAAGGCACAGGAGTTGATTACCTATGTTTACCGAAAGCCTACTGATACTGGATTGTATTTAAAATGGACTAGTAATCAGCCAAGGAATTATAAAATCAATTTGATAAAATGTCTGTGTACTCGGGCTAAAAGAATATGTTCATCAAATGCTGAACTATTTGAAAAAGAATTAGATTATCACGTACATATTTTTCATACAAATGGTTATCCGCTGAACATAGTAAAGAAGACGATACGAGGGATTAGATTAAACAAGACTGTACAAAAACCTATTAAGCCTAATCTAAAACGATACTATTTCTCTATGCCTTATTATGGAGAACACTCATTAATCCTGGAAAATCAATTGAAAAAGCTTCTTTATCATCCGATGAAAATGGTGACTTTAGGCTTTAAAGCAGGATACACTCTCTCTTCCGTGTTTGGACGAACGTATAAGAACACGATCAATGAGAATAGAGTAGTGTATAAGTATGACTGTTGTGGCTGTTTTAATACTTATATTGGGCAGATGGCGAGAGGAAAGAAGAAAAGAAAAGAAGAACATCAGCAAGCGTTTTATGGACAAGGTTTGTCAAGGAGTGCCATTCACGGGTTGGCAAGTGTAGTAAAACAGAGTCTACTCATAGACATTCATACAAAAAAGGGAATAAGAACTATATATTCCCAAAAGATTTTTATGCTGAATGTTTTTTTAGATGAATCATATTACATATGATCTAGAAGGAGAGTGAAAAACAAAAGCAAAAGATTTTATGTTCTACACGTGTTTTATTGTCTGTTTCTAAGTTACAATGTTATTTTTTGAACATCAGTTTGTACTCCTAACTACTGACTCTTTCTTATCCGAAATAGATGGATCTACCAAGGGATCAACAAAACTGAATTGAGATAAGTGTTCGTTTAAAATGTCTATGCGTATGGTAAATGTAAAAAGGTGAAGCATGCGTCCTTCAAAACTACTATACGACACTTCCGACCTGATGTTTTAGAATAAAGGCGAAACGTCTCAGTTTGAAATGGTCATTTCAACATGCAAAAAGCTGATTTTAATCTTTATTTCTGTTACAAAAATATCTTTTGGTAGCATAAAGTAAAAATCAAGTTTCTACACTCTAACCCAGTAGAAAAACATGCACCACAGTAGTCTAAAGCTACTAAAATAAAATACTGAATAACATCATTCATACTTATAGTTAATTTAATTCTGCTATACAAAGAACGCACAAGATAAAAAAAATAACTCTGATGGCTAATCATCATCATTTTCTTCAAAGAATTTGTTTGTTGTATCACAATATTTCTCTAACAGGTAAGTTTCTTAGATTTATTTTAATTTTTTCAAATCGATTTAGTACACGGAATATAATTCGTAATATAAAATTGATGACATCTGGCCAAAATGACCTCGTGAGA